GGCTGCAATGCCTGCGGTCGCAGCAGGCTGTAGGGTCCTGGTTGTAGCCATGGGAGCTGCGGCATTCAGGGCAGCCCCGGCTCCCTGCGAGGCAGGAGCGCTATCAGCTGAGCATCTCAGGAACAAGGGACTGTCAGAGGACACGGCTGAAAGAGGGTGACAAGATCTTAAGGGGCAAACAAAGGAGTCAGTCAGTGAAAGAGAGAGAGCAGGGATTATAAAGGGCGACAGAGGTATTCTTACTGCCTCGGTACTTCGGCTGTTAGTGGCATAAAGGTTATTTCAAGAGATTAAGTATGTTTCATAGAAACAGCTAGCAGAGAGTCGATTATTAAATTGCCAAGCACTTTATTCAAAGGTTAAAAATGGTTTAATTAACTTTCTTCTGGAGATGGGCAAATTAAAAGGGCAATTTTCAGCCAACCCAGCCTCACTGCAGTCAGAGATGCAGGCTTCCAAGCAGGTCCAGGTGGAGCAGCAAGGGGAACAAGCAAGACAAATTAGGGAACTTTTACGGAATTCAGGCAGTCTGACCATTGTCCAAAGAGCTTAAGGGTCTTTTCCTACATCACACAATGGCACATTAGCAAACTGCTAACGTTCTGGCTTCCAGCCAGAAGCACTGTCCTCTTCCATCAGCTGCGTAAGTGAACAGAAGAGGGAGTTCTCAACTGAAGGAATTTTTTCCTCTGGCTTCCAAGCTAGGCTTGATAGCTAAAACAATTGAAAACATTTACAATAAAATGAAAACAATACGTAATTGTATTGTTTTGCAGCTGTTTTGGTGCCAAGAAACAGCTTTGGTCAGGAAATCAGTTGTAAATTTGACAATGAAGAAGCAGAGATAAGTAGGGCCGCTTACTTGCCAAGAGAGACTCCCTAAATTTAACCGCCTGTGAAGGAAGAGGAGGCCTTCAGCCCAGTTCAGCCCTGCTGTAAAGTAAAACTCAGTGAAGTCAGGGTAACACCTCTTATATGGTGCATTGTAACACAAGTTGAGAGTCCATAACGCAGTGTAAGAGCCAGACATAGACGATAACACAGCAATTTTAAGTCCAAGTGTACAGGTGTACAATACTGAATGGTATGTACACTGAATCATGGTACTTCCACTGGCAACAGCAACACAAAGTCTCAAGTTAATGTCAGTAATACAAGGAGCTGTTGGAAATCCTGGTTAGTATCCAACTCTGTCCTAAGCATGGATGCTCATGGCTTAACTCACAAGCTAATAAAATCTATGAGAATAATCTGCAACATCCTGCAGTGCCGCTGATATTGCAGCAATGGTTTCAGAACTTCAATTGCAAAATCACAAACAAAGCCCCCACAAGAAAATCCTCTCTGTTCTTCCAGGCAATAAAGTAAACAATATGAAAGAAAACAGGGGAGCTGAGGTTTGGGTGGAAGAGGAGTGGGGTCAGAAAGAAGCTTCAGAGAAAGAGAGCGGGAGAGACTTTGAAGCAGAAAGGTGAAGGGCAGGTTGTCATGGGATGGGACAAAGGATGGATGCAGCAAGAACAGGAATTGCAGATTATGAAGGAACTATCTGAACATTGTAAACACCAGGGAGGGAAAAGAATTGTTTAGGGTGGTTCAATGATATTTCTAGGAGTGATGGGATGCAGATAAGCAAGTGGAAAATGTAAGCTTTTAAACAGGAAACATTTCCTGACAATGAATTCTAATAGACTGTGGAAAAGTCTCCTGCAGGAAGTGGCAGGAGCCACCTAGACAATCAAAACTAGACTAGACAACATACCTTAGGGCATAATCATACCTCAGAGCACAGACAACAGACTGAATGTGACAAGTATCTTTCCTACTTGCTTCAGAAACAAAGTCCAGGGGGAAAGAAGGACCATTGTAACTGCAAGGCCAAAAGACGTAGGGAAGAACCACATCTGATTCAAAGAAAATCCAAATACAAATTTTCCTTGTAAGTGACACGGAATATGGCAGTATGGCCTTTCCTGAGCTGTATCTACGCAAACATCCCGTTCTCTAATGGCACATTATTGCCAATGTTTCATTCACAAGAAACATTAATTCATTGTTTGCTGCGTTCCGCAGTGTTTAATTAGCTCACTGTTTATGGTTTAACAGCTTTAAGGAGCTTTTTCCTATGAATTGTTGAATTAATATTCTGTTCTATTTCCTTGATGCAATCCAGCTTTCTAAACCACAACTGTGATAACTACGTGGCAGAAAACTACTTGTTAGTTTGTAGACATTATGAGTTTTGTGAAAAGCCTGCAAAAATTAGATACTGGTTGTTTGGTGTAGGTTTCATTCAACAGGAGAAAGGAAGAATTCTCATGGGTGCTGCATGTGAGGCATCAACCTGCTTTGGCAGGGGGGTTGGACTTGATGATCTCTGGAAGTCCCTTACAACCCTGTGATTCTGTGATCAGTACTACTGGCGGGCTGGATTTAAGTTCTTTTTCCCTGCAATTTGTTGTGCAGGTTGAGATTCTTAGTGTCTGTGTGTCAGTCTACTAACATGTGACTGAAACTCACAAGCATAGCTGAGAGAACCTGCCACATTCCTGCCAGCTGGCAATAAGTTTGGTGGTCACTTTACTTGAGAAGGGTTGGACTCAGTCCCAGCAATGAAGGGCTCCACTGCTTACCTCCATTTCACTCCTCTGAAACAGAGGTACAGGATTAGGACCACTGATGATACCATGAGATGGCAGTTACCTTTACTCAGTGCTTCCCACGGTGGTCTTTGATTTTCATCCTGCTATGGTCACAACCCAAAGCTCCACAGTTTTGCAGCCAATGAACAATGCACTCACTGCACTTTCTCCTAGTGGTGAATCACACCGACTGTAAATTTTCATTTGCATTGCAGTAGTGCTGTGATGTCCAAGTCACAATCACATTCATACAAACCCAGAACAGTAAACTTTGTTTCAGGAATTTACAGTAAATAAATCGAGTACCTCATATGACCTTGATTTTTCACCTGACAACTTTCCTCTTTGATATAGCTCATATCCCAAAAAGTCTGAGTCAAGTCTTTGCACACAGCTAGCCCTTCATGCTGCATACATCCCACTACCTTTAAACATCTGCAACCAGATCATTCCCACAGTGCACCACCTTTTCCCCTGAGGGTTTATGTGTATATAACTTGTGTAGAAAGTCCACCCCAATCCCAGTGTGCCGTGCCTGCACATGCAGATGCTTTTACAAGATTGCCACTGAGCCAAAGCAGTTTCTAAAAACATCTGCAGTCATTTATCCATGCAAACTTTAACGCATTTGAAACATAATCAAGCATTGTGGAGCTTGGCTTAGCCACTGTTTGCTAAGCATTTATTGATTAAAATATTGGTTAAGGTGCTTGGTGACATTCTGCACCTGGAATGTTGGGTTCTGCCGTTTCCTAGTGGAGATAAGGAATTGCTCAGCACTGCTCAAGGTCTGCCCACTGCCTTGTATACACAGGCTTGAAATAATGCAGCGATCACTTTTAGAAATGGCAGGCTTTAAAGCCAAGCTTTGTAGATGTTCAGAAGTGTGTCAGTCAAAAGGTAAAAATCTGATTCAACAAAGTTTTCGATAATTACAAAATATTGACAGAGTGACAATGTAGAAACCACTGCTGTTCTAACAGTATGAATGTAGTATTCTTTGCTTACTTTTCCTCTTAATGTTAATAAACATTCGCTTAACTAGAATGAGTCAATGTTATTTGTAGTTTTCAGTGTAAATTTAATTTTTGTGAGAAATGAATTGAAACAATATCACTTTTTTCAAGCTTAAATTCACTGCAACAATGCTCCTCCAAGCCTCCCTCTTGTTCTATTGCAGCTGGTTGAGGTTCTATGTATAACTTTTCCTAAATAATAGAAAGATGGCACTGTGATGTTACTGATGTGAAGTGTTGAAAGTTATGAGCCTTCCAGCAGATGTGTTATAAAAGCTCACAAATAATGGTAATTAGCATTTGAATCACACAGGATTCCATAACAATTTCTATAAATTGATTAGTCTGATACTAATAATGATTATAAGAGGTTTTGAATTGTTATTGATCAAAGTTAAATAGACAAAGAGAACTATTTCCATTAAAATCCATTTAAAATTCACTACTATCATAAATAACCATTGAAACGTGGCTATAAACAAAAAAGCCCTTAATTTCCTGAGTAGATGAACTCATAGTTAAATTACATCAGTTCAATTCCTTTGAATTTCACATTTCTCCTGCTAAAGGAAAAGGCTTTCCATTGAAAAATTCTGCAACCTTCTCTGTGGGATCACAGCTGAGTGAGAATGAGGATTCTTCACTGCCTACTGAAAATGAGACCCTTTGTTACTTAAAACTTTTTATTGCACAAGGTATCTTGTGCAACCCTGTGCAAAGAGAGTGAGGTAAGACATCCTGAGTAAGTTAATTTCCAAGTCAATGAAACAGTGACAAGTACAGATAAGACATTATTTACTTTAACACTACATAAATTCAGATGTAGAACCTTCCCTTAAGCCAAGGTTTCAAAACCACATTGGTTAGAACTGCAACTCATCCACAGGTCTACTATTTCATGCTACCACAGTTGTGTGAAGGAGTATTAACAGTGTAAACTGATTTAGGACCAGGAGATCTAAAAAGAGGACAGGGTTGCTATAATTTTCACACTATTTTCTGAAGTATTTGATATTAGAACCAAGATAAGCTGGGTGTGCATTCCATATTGCTAAGAAATGTCTGGCAACAAGACATAGATTTATTTACAAGCAAAGCACTCACCTTTTACCAGTCATTGTTTATATATATGAAACATGAGATTTCTTATTCTAATAAAATTAAGCAGACCAAGCAGATGTCAAAGCTGCACAGCCAGTCATAACCTCATCACTCCCTAAGGACTGCAAGGTACAAACCCATTTCACATCTGCTTTTTGGAGGGGCAATTTGTACAGTTTTTCATTCATCTAATTCTGAATCACATTATTTAGTCTGATCATATTATTTATTCATTTCTTAGTTGGACAACACTGGTGCTATCTGTCACAGAAGAAAGAGGAGCCAAGCTGTGAAGGTACTGCTTAACAATTTGTTCCTCTGGTCACGTCAGTGTTTGGATCCTTCTGCTTTGCAAAGGGCAAAATGCACACAGCTGCATTTAATGCTGCATGATCACACTACAAGTAAACAGAAGTGCTAAATACAGTGCCTGATGAGGGCATTTTAAAAATGTCAGTGCTTGCTCTATCCATTTTTATCAGGCAAGGATAAAGCTACAATACAGAAATATACTGGAGAGGTAACCATCCTAGCAAGTTTGATGTAGACATGCATTTAAATTCTTGAGGACAGAGTTATGAGAAACCCTAATCTTCTCCCTACAGCTGCACCCTTTGTTCTACCAGCAGTACCCACGCTGTCTGCACCACTGCTCAACCCTGTGCCCAGCAATGCCCTTCCCAAACCTGGCTGTGCTGGAAACAGCATTTCAATCCCCAAATCCCCATCACCACAACCCTTATTTATTTTTATTCTAGTCTCCAGTCAACCAGCTAATCACAGCAATAGTATACTTTAACTTTACAGCCATTTCTATGTTCTTATTTTTCTATTTCAGTTAACATTCTTGAAGTATATTAACATTTCTTAGAATACAACAACTACATGCTAAGAAAGCTCCTTTATTAAATTTCCACTACCCAAAGACCTTTCTTTCTTTTTATATAAAGACATTTCCAGATTCCCAAGCATGTATTAGCTGGTGGGTGTTCGGGTTTTATCAAGGATTTCAGTCTACAGAAAAATAATATTTTCTTCATTTTTAAATAGACCCTCGACATTGGCATATAGTAGATGCCAAATGCAAAGGAACCAAACAGTCACCCATCAATATTGTCACCAAAAATGTCATTTATGACAAGAACCTGACGCCACTGCATTTTGAAAATTATGATCTGAAAGGGACTTCAAAATGGACAATAGAAAACAATGGACATACAGGCAAGTACTGTCAAATACGTTATAATGGAACTTGCATCTTTGCATTGTGCCTCCTTTCCCTCCTTCCATGTTCTGAGCTGTTACCTGTCACTGCTTTCACTTAATGGAAAGAAAGAGGCTAGCACACTCCTATTTCAGAAACAAAACTTTCAGAAAACCTGAACCAGGGCTTTCTGGGAACTTTGTTGTCATTATCTGATTTCTGGATCCTGAACACAGTCCTTGAGCACCTCAACAGGAATTTGATCTATGTGTCCATATAGAACAAAGCTCGAGACAGCCAGGGAACCTATAAGTCAAATAACACCATCTAGAACCAAGCAGCAGATGGGCATAGGGGTAACAGACTTTGCAGAGGCACGTGAGATTTGCTGAATAATCTTATATCCTTCATTGCTGGGCTTGCCCTCTCTAACACTTGTTCTGTGTAAGGAAGGATTCTGCTGAAGAATACAACCTGGGAGACTCATTCAACCTCTGGAGTGGGATGCTGTGTCTTGCTAGTTCTGTAAATAACTAGCAGAAATCCCTTCAGAGTTCAACATGTGTGTGTTTTGTTTTTTTTTTAAACAAATGAGGAAGTAATACAACATGGTGCTGCCGATCAGCTCTTTACTGACTCAGTAAACAGTAAGTCTGTGAACAGCAACTCAATAAACCATAATCCCAGGAATAGAAATTCAACACTGATTAGCTTTTTTTCTTTTCATCAAGGCAATAGTAATGATGATGCTTCAGCCATATTATGCTAACTTATTAAAAAAATGCAATGAGACATAATTTTTTTGAAGTTATCCATTGGTATTCCCGAAATCTTAGATGTGTTGTTTTAATGGCCAAATTCTCAGAGGGGGAAGTTGTAGGTGTTAAATACGTTCCTCAGTTAAATGGAGAGGCAGGACGCAGACAGCTGGAGAAGTTTTCACCACCACAGATTCTCATTCAGATCATCAGTATTTTGACAAATCATAAGAAAAATCCATGATTGATTTTTCACTAACATACAGGTTAATGAATTTCATGTTACAGAATGATGCTTTAGAGTCCATATTACAGTCACTGTGCATAGTAATGTCTTTCACATAAAAATTAATATTAAAAACAATTGTTCGGAACTGCCATCATTTTCAAACAAGCAAAAGAATTACAGTTTTATCCGGGCTTTTAAAATTTCTTTCCTTTGTGTGCAACCAATTCCTGTGCTATGAGAACAACACTGAAACTGCTATTGCTTAAATTGCAGCAGCAATTAAAATCTCTACATGAGATTAGACTATCATTATGTTCAGTGATGTGCAGACAGTAAAGGTCAGTGTCTCAAAGGTCCTACAATCTAAATAAACCAAGCCAACAAAGATACATTAACATCCATATAAAGATAAAACAGAAAAGTAACTGAGTGACTCACAGAAGCTTCCAGTTCATTTGGAACTCAGAACTGAAGTGTAATCTCCAGGGCTTTAATCCATCTCTTCCTTATGGAAAAATAAAAGTACTGGGTTTCCTGTAGAGACCCTCACAAGCCATGTTTCTAAGCACACGCTGGATGTCTCAGGCACACGGTGTGCTTCACACAGGCGATGGTCACTTACAGATAGAAAATATATTTTCTGGGATAATTTTATTTTGCTGTTTAACAGAGAATTGATCCTCACATCAAACAGACATAATGATTTAATGCTTTATCTTAAGTAGTAGCACTAATCTAAATTAAAACAGAATCAGGTCCAGTTTAAATAATAGCGTCTTTAAACCCCGTCTAAAATAAATGTTACAGTGCAGACAAGTTTGTGCACATTGACAGAGGGCACTGTGAAGAAGTATCGGATCTACCAAACAAGATATGCATCTCTAATCCCTGGGTTGTAATGGCAGTGAACCATCCCCTACACAATCAAGAAAAGACAATCTATTACCCTGCTTTCTTCAAAATGCAACTGATAATTCTCCAAAGGATAAACAAATGAAAGCCATAAAAGTCTATAAAACACTTTCCCAGAATAGTCTACAGCAGTATTTATCAAATTTATTTTCTTACATCTGCAGATGAAGTCACGAGTAATTCAGCTCTCTAGCAATTAAGAGGATAAACGAGTCATTCAGGCTCACAGAGCAAATCCCAGCTAGAAAAGGGAGCAGGAGTTCCAGGTGCAGTGCCATAGATGAGGAACACCCAAATGCTGTTTCATATTACCAGAAAGTGAGCTGTGATATTCCACCTTTTCATCTCCAATCTATCTCAGCTAGCATGTTTTAAGAATTCAGTTTCTGAAGAATTGAACTTGTGGAACACTTGGTATGAAAAAACAAACCTGAATTTCAGGGTCAATTTCAATCTCTCTGGTGTATTAATGTATGATGTGAACATTTTAGAAACTATTTATTCATTTTCCCCAGTTAAAGTAACACTGAACACAAACCCTACAATTGAAGGAGGAGGTCTGAACAGAATATACAAGGCGGTAGAATTCCATCTGCACTGGGGAATCCAAGAGGAACAGCTCTACTTTCCTGGGTCAGAGCACAGCATAGATGGAGAAAAACAAGCTATGGAGGTAGGTGGGACTACCACTGGATTTGGGCCATAATTCAAGTGCTCTGTATTTTTGACACTATTAGAGAAAAAGTATTGGACAGTTTTCCTATGAATCACCAAGTGGAAATAAAGAATCTGTGACACATTGCTCACTAATCAGAACACCAAGGAAAACATACTGAGTTTACGTAACAAGGGCACAGTTAAGATAGCAAATCTGGAGTTACGCAGCCTTTTGGGAGAACTATCTCCAAGTCTGTATGGTCTGATTACACTCTCATACTGTTTATTCAGACTGTATATTCCATTTCTGGACTGCAACAATGAACTAACCTCTATACCTGAGAAAAATAAAATTCTCTCCAAGTCAAGGCAAGTTGCCAGTGCTGGTGCAAATGGGTTGGTGGAAGGACACCACCACCCACTGTCAAACAGAGTAAAAGTTTAACTGTTCCACTGCACAGGCTGAAAATTGAGGGTTGCTGCAGTCCACAGAGCACTTCATCTTCTCTTACATGGGTGGGGAAGCAGCTCTTGCTCTACTACAGCCAAAATGCAGAGAAACAGCCAGGCTACACTTAAAACTACTAACTGCAGAGGAAAACAAGCACATCATTGGCCTTAACTATTTTGTTACAGCTTCATATTGTCCACATAAGAGAAGATGCTTTGGATTTAGCAGATGCAAAGAACTATGCAGATGGTATAGCTGTGCTAGCATTCTTTATAAAGGTAGGTGGCCAAATTCTAATTCTTTCTCTCAAATCTAATGGCAAGGTGGCTGTGTGCCACGGTGTCAATATTACATTATTCCAAGACCTAAACCTTCCTAAAATTCTATGGACGTGCAATGCCAGAATGTGGTTCCTTTATCTTTTTCTATATTCCATTTGCTGCTGTTTCCTTTGTGAATCTTGACTATCACACTCACAATTCATTTAAAATAACCACTTGCTGAGGAATATATGATCTGGAATAAAAATGTTTCCATTTCAGATTGATGAAGAAAATAAAAACTATGCAACTCTAATAAGTGAATTAGATAATATTCTACAGAAAGGTAAGAAACTTGGCTTGTTTGATACACACATCTATTTACTTTGAGCACATATTCTACGCAGTAATTCAAGGTCTAATCCTGTTCTGGTTATTCTAGAGGTTGTTACTGAAAATTCAGAGGCAAAGGATAAAGGTTAGTTTGTCAAGTACTCAGAGCACTGGAGGTGGGATAAAATCTAGTTCTTGATATTTGCAGATGAAGAATGCCTAAGCACCAGAATGAGTATTCCTGCTTCTGTAGAACAAAGCAAACTGAGAAGAAAAACATTTTAACAAAAACAAATGTTTTTTATAACAAGAGAGGTGTTCATATTTTGAGCTCTGTGGGATTTTGCAGGCAGCGGTCATGGATTTCACAGGCAATGCAGTGCAGCAGTGCCAGCAAGCCTAGGGAGAGCACATGGGGACAAGGATTTACACAAGCATTAGCTGCAGGTGCATTTGAAGACATATACTTTCAGCTGTGCTTGTTAAAAACAGTATTTCTGCCTGGTTTGCCTAGACACATCATCACAGATGGAGCCTTTGCCACTGAATTCTCTTCTCCCACCGGTATATGAACTTAGGAAGTACTATCGGTACGAGGGCTCCCTCACCACTCCTGACTGCCACGAGACGGTCATCTGGACAGTGTTTGAGGAGCCAATTCAACTCAGTTTATCACAGGTAAGTCACAGAGGGATGCTCTGAAAGATCTGCTTCCCGTGATTTTCCTACCTGCCTGCTCACTCGCATGAGTTAACCCAGGCCTGTTAGCTGCTCCACTGCTTATGGAACCACAGAACAGAACAACAAAGAATATTCCCAGTTGGAAGGGACCTGCTCCATGAGCTCTGGCAGCTCAGGGCTGTGCCCCTGCCCTGGGGAGCCTGCCGTGCCCACAGCCCTCCGGTGTAAAACAGTTCCCAGGGTTTTGTTGCTATGACAAACAGACACGTGCTCGGCATTAGGTTAAATCCATATGCTCTCCTAATGCCAGTTTTGACAGCATCACTTAATAGCTCTCTTAAATCAACTCTCAAAAAAGAGGAACAGGAGACCAAGTCACAACTGTCTCTAAAATGCATGTTGCTCAGCTGACAGAGTGTATGATCAAAACAATTAAGATGTCCTGGAATGGAATCTCAGCAATACTAGTTGGGCAAGAGCCAGCACCTTCATTTTTGCTTGTTATTTGCAGTGTACTCAATCATTTTACTCAAAGAGCAAGGCTCGGCCTCGTACGTAGCACAGCACACAGGAGTGAGCATCTCGCTCCTGTGCCAGTTTCTAAGCAAACAAAGAAATGAGTCACATAAACCTAATCCTCTTGCGTTGTATCCCTGTGATGTGACAGACAAGGACAGAAGGCGTGTGTCACAAGGTCTGATCTAACCAAGTCCTTGGGCTGGACAAAAAGCATTCAGCTCGCACAGGAAGCCCATGTGATTTCCGACTCTGAAATCAGTGGGTCACCTCCGGCAGTAGCCTCCATCACAGTGTTTCCTGTAAGGTTCAGTGCATCCATACAGATCAAAACAATGCCACAGAATAGCTATAAAACCTTATCATTTCCAGTGTTCCACAGAAAAAAAAAAAAAAAAGCATTTTACATTTTTCTTTTCCCAATATCTGCAGGTTTCCCAGTTCTCATCAGTTCACTTTGGAGGGAACAACTCAACACTCATGTCTGAAAACTTTCGGCCTGCTCAGTTTCTGAATGGTCGATATGTGTACTGGTCCAGTGCCAGCAGCCTCCTGCCTCCTGCTAAGGTTTTAATGTTGGCTCTGATCCTTCTATACCTCCTAAATTCTCTCTTCCAATGAATAATTCTGACTCATTCAAGGTTCTGGGCTTTTATTCTGTTTTGTTTTTGTATCAAGTGTTCCCTCTAATCACCAACTCCTTAATTATATCTGAATACAGAATATTCTCTCCTCCTCCTTCATACATTAACCAACAACTTCTGTTGCTGCTCCTATATAAAATGAACCTGTGGCACTAAATTACAAAAATCCTAAGGAACCGTAAGATTAAACTATGAAGATTCACATTTTAAAAACACTTAAAGAAAACATCAGGATGGATTATCAGGATGGTTTTAACGCAACATTGGAAGGACACTTGATAAGTGATACGGAGGACTTTCAGGAGGAATCTCTTCATAAGTGCCTATGAGGGTGTTTTTTTTTCTGGAGTATGTTTACATTCAACACTGCAAGTCAGGAAGGAACACCTGGAGGAATTCTTATTATGCCTACGTTGTCCTATATGAAGGTAAAATACAGAACATAAAAATGCTCACAGAACTGAACAACACCTGGGTCATTCTATGCAGTGAAAGACATGACAAACTCATCTGTACTAACACATTTTTTCCCCCTTCCTCTTTCAGAGTACCTAAAAAGTTAACTCTTAGGGAAGGATACTGCATTACTTATATGCAGTCCACTGATTGTGCGTATCAAGTTTCTCTACTAAATCTATTTATTCAACCCAATATGACATTCTATTCCAGGATGCCTGTGGCTGATACGATGTGCTATAAAGGGAAGCTTGCTCACGTATAGGAATTGCACCTCTGCAGAAATTCCTTCTTCGTAGGGCTGTGTTTAGAGCATGAGACCTTCAAGATCCTTTACAGTTTTCATTTCTATAGCAAAAAGGAACAGTTCAAGAAATGGCTCTTTCCAGTATCACTTTTTTAGAAACATTTAAATTTCAGTTTGAACTGAAAATTTCAATTTTGAAATTTCAGAGTGAATATTCCCACAATTATTTAAAGAACAACATATCTTCAAAATATTCACGTATGGTTAACATTCATAGTTTCAGTAAGAAGATTTAAATTTGAATTGGTTTCTTCAGCTCTTACCCAGTTACATTCAGGAACACTCAATATACTGTGGAATGGGATTTCCTTGCACTGTTCCAGCTCTCTTTCTGAAGACAGACAAATCTGACTGTTCTCTTCAGCTAGTGCCATACACATTGCAGCTGCTTTGAGAATTTTAGATTTTGGCCATCCCAGGACACCATTTCATTCAAGAGGATGACTACTTTTTTTAGGGCAATGTTTGCAAGGACGACTCTACGTTACAGCTACACAGCCATTTTCAGAAAAATGTGACAGCATGACTAACTACAGATCACCAAAGGAGAAAAGTTATTTTGATATTTAACAATTAATAATATGAGCTTTAAGAAAAAAAACATGGAAAAGCAAATTTACCTTGTTACATTTAGAAGAATGGTTAGGACTTTAACTGTATTTTTAAGTAACAGAAAAACTTTGGAGAAGCAAACATAAAAGAAAGATTAAAACTGAACATACTATATAATCTTTGGGTTGAGTTTTTATTTATTTTATCTTTGCTGAAGAAAAACCCATGCAACATTCATTAAGGAATATGCTTCTTTTTTCTATTTTCTTCACAAGTTTTAGGGTTGGGTTTGCTTTTTCTCAGGGTGGTTTGAGGGAAGGGAGGGAACTGTACTACACTGGGACTTACTGATGTCAACAGGCTTCCGGAGCTTTTACTTCATCTTGGCCATCAAAGCATCACTTGTCCCCTGACAAAATAGCTTTGAGTACAGTACCTTGCTCAGCAGACCTAGTGACCGCTTCCAGCTTATTAGGTAGAGGCCACGCAGGCTTCTTACACAGCAACAAATAGTACCATGGACCCACCCAGTATAACCACCCATGTAGAAGTTAGCCAAGATAAATGCATCTCTCTCTTGCTTGGATGTATTTTCATTAAATTTCTCAATATTCTGCAAGTAGAGAACATGTCAAGAAAAGATCATACTGGTCCTATCCTCAAAGACAAATGCAAGCTAAGTAGTTTCACTTCAGCAAATGCCAAGAACATGGCTTATTCAGTGTGCAGAACCGTGTTTCAAGCAATGGGAGTGCATTCTCGATGATATACTCTTCTTGACAGTATTTTTTATTTTTCTCACATTTTTGGTGTAAGACACATAGGTAATATGCAATTTTTTTTTTTTTTTCATAGAAATTAAAGCATGGAGACCCCATACTTTTCCATTTTTGCAACATAGATTATCAGTCCCCTCTGATTGTGGGCTCCCTGACAACAGCTCCCTGCCCCCATACCTAGACTTATCAGACATTAATGCACACCTGTTTATTTCCAGCTGTCACGATGCTGGTCAAAATGACAGAAGTCTTTAAGCTGTCCCAGGCCTCACAAAGCTTCATAAGTTTAATTCAATTTGTGAACTTCATAGAAATTGTTAGAATGCATGCAACACAAACAGCAGAGGGCCATGGGAGCTACAGTCTGTATCTGTGTCAGTGATTTAGTTCAATTTGTTCTTTGTTAGAGGCTCCTCGGCAACCAAGTGGACACATGCTGTTCTGGTGCTGAGTATGACAACAACAGGACTAGCATTAATCCAGTAAATCAATACAAATCTATAGCAACAGCTATTCAGTCAAAAACATTAAAAGACAGAAAGGTTTCAAGTGGAACATTTGGTTTTCTTTTGTGATAGTACTTATGGAGAAGTAATTGTTATTCACAGGTAGCTTCAGGAACAGATTTTCAAGAATTGTATCCACGTGAATTTTGGCAGGAAACCTCTCCCATTAGCAAGAAAACAGGAAACTACAGAAACTCCTAAAGAACTAATGGCTAACTTGTGATGCTATAGGAAAGAACTGGGGGAGGACTATGTAGAAAAAACAAGAAATAGTGTTTTCCTACTTGGAGATTAACACAAAACTTTGCTAATACATTTTACATATGTTGGAACCAGGGTTAAAGACCATTATATCCCAGTGTTTAGTCACATAAACTAATAGAAAATGAAACAACACTAGAAACTAAAATTCTCTAGAGTAGTATCTTTTAGGTTTAATACAACAAAGATGAGCAGTGGCTTTGCCATTTGAGACTACCATTTGGATTTCAGAAACCAGCATATGAACTAAGTGTGTTCAAAACAGCAGATTCCTCTCACAAAAGAGTTTGGGAGATTACCACAGGACTGGAAATAGCTTATGAGAATTCCGTCTTTTAGAGGCAGTAGGATTTGGGTTTAGGGTTTACCTGTAATGGCTGCCAGGAAAGAGCCAATTCACTGTAAGGCTGAACAGCAGCTAGGAATACAGCACACTTCAGCAGGTCTTGTCCATGTCTAAAAGCCCAAACTTCTCCAGCCCTGGATCAGACTGATCTGCGTACAAGCTTTTAGGGGCTGAGAGATGAAGGAACAGATCTGCCCCAGGAAAACAGGCCCAGCTTCACACCCACCTGACAACCAGCATGGAGAGGGAGCGCACTGACAGAGAATCCCAACACCGACATTTCAGTAAAGCCCCAGGCTGGGGCTGAGGGCAAGGCATGGCACTGTGGCAGTGCTGGGCTGCAGCATCGGCTGTTGCCAGAGCTGGAACCAAAAGCAAGGCCTGCCCTGCTGCTTGTAGACGACCTAAAGGAAAAATTGTGGAGGGAGAGAAAAATGAAGGGAACATTCTCTCAGGATGGCCGGGTGTTGGGCAAAGTGGAGACACCCACTGCTCCACCACTGCTGGCGGCCATTTTGTGAGGGCCCTTCCCGTCAGGCTGAGGGGAGGCCCCAGCCTGTGCCCTCCGACAACAAAACTACCACAGCTTCCCCACCTTGCTCCAGGTGTTGTCACCCCAGGGTGGTACAAATGTGGTAGCAAACAACAAGCTGCAAGAGGATTTCCTCCAATTAGAGCTGCTTTGGGCTGGCAGGAAGGGATGGCCCTGGGTACGCACAGGGGACATTTGCAGAGCACTTCCACTCGGCAGCACCCTGGGGCCACGTGTGCCAGTGCCCATCACCATGGACTTGTATGCATACATTTGCAAGATGTGCTGAGCACGAGGGCTGCTGCATTAACACCAGTCATTGCCAGCAACCCAAACCATGCAGCCAAGAGTCCTCTCCAACTCCATCAGTAAATCAAGCTGTGGGAGACACTGCCTCTCTATTAAAAACATTCACTAGCATTTTTGAACCTGGAATGTTTCACAGAGACAGGTTAAAAAAGCAATCAGAGGAGATGGAAGCAGGGAAAAGTCTCCAGGAGAAAAAGGGCAGCAGGAGCAGCAAGCATGGTGACCTCAGCGGGTCCTCCTGAACACAGACACAGCTCACTCAAACCAACTGCTGAGAATGAGAACATGCAGCTTTCAGTACGAAGTTTTAAATGCATTTCCCCCCAAACAAACCCAATTTCAGGCTTTTAACATCAGAAATAAACACATATACTCCATAAAGCTTGATTATAATCAGTCAAAAATGTAAAATTATGAGCGAAATTAACTACAGCAATTAATTGAAATGTCTCTGGGAGATTATTTTCTTTCTTAGAATTGAATGCAAATTACATTTAAAGTTATAATGTAAAGGGTATAAAGTTTTCAAAAATTGTGATAAGTTCAGACTATTTTCTAATCTTTTACTTATTAATGTATTCTGAAACAATTCAGAACATTTAGTACTCAAACATAGTTTGAATTTAAAAAGAAAAGAACTGACATCACTTTATTACCTATGGCATTTGCTTCCTTATAACCTTCTTTCATCTAGTTAAATTTCCCAACGCCTTTTTTTTTTTTTATCATGTGAAGGAAACCTCATAGAAAAATATATTACTTTCCATCTACTAAAATTACCATCATGACAACACCCATTCACTTCCCAGGTTACTGAGAGCAGTCATTGTTCCCAGTGTGAGAGAAGTACCTTGATTAGGTTACAGATGCATGCAGCTATGAGGAATTGATCAGAGAGGAAGACAGAAGTTTTACATTTTGCTGACTGTGCTGATGTCGAGATTAAGGCCTGAGTAAATCATAGTCATTTTCTACCAAGAAAGCTATATCTCTAAAAACTTAGAATCACTTGACTTTGTTGTACACATCACCTGAAATTCTTCCCTACAAGCTGTAAAACACAATGTTTTGTGCCATGGAATCCAACAGTTCCTGCTGAACCTAGGAATAAACGTAAGAGGAAAACAGTGATCCGTCTGAATAAAGGAAAGATGCTGCTTAATGAAGGAGGAAGGCATGCAGACAGCCACCAAGGTGCTGAAGGCTTCCCTGTCCTGCTCAGATAAAGTCACTGCAGCCAGCAGCTCTGGGCTTTGTGCAGCACTTCATTCCAAACATGAATAAGCAAAGGGAAAGACTCACAGTTAACCTAAGGAAATTTCAGTGCCCCAAATCACTGACAGAACGGAACCATTTTTGGGAACCAGGCATTATGACAGTTAGATAAAGGCTCTGAAGCAGGTTATGAGCAGAAATATTGCTGCAACTCCTTCTACTTTGATGATTTTAGTGCAGTTTGAGTGGCAGACAACACAGTGTCTTATCAAGCAAAAAAGAGACTCCAGTGTCACCCATATAAAAAAAACACACTGAAGCAGGTTTCTATTGTCCTGATTGTTACTATTGCAGTGCCAGAGCAAAAACGGGATGTTAAGGTTTATGATCTCACAGATATGACTACACAAGTTACGATACAAGACTGATTTATTTTCAGAACAGCTATTAAAGCTCATAAAATGCAAACATTCCTGTTGCATAGGAAGAAGTCGGTGCAATTTTTATTGCAGCTATAGGAATACTTTGAGATTGCGACAGGGAAAAGATGGTAGGGCAGCAGATAAGTCACAGCTCGTGATTCATAAATGCCTCACATGAAGACTGTTAAAAAGAAAAAACACACCTGACAGTTTCTCAGGAAGACCCAAATGACCTCAGTGGCAGATGCAGCTTTCAGATGGAGATGACGGTTTGGTGAAACCTAGTGGCTCGTTTCAGTAACGTGGGGCAATGCACAGAGCTTTGTAAAATGGCTGTGAAATAAAAGCATACACTTCAATAGCTCATTTTCTAACTTTGGCTAAAATATATATGGCTAAGTTAGCCTCAGCTTCATCAAACAACAGATCTTCCTAAAGCTTTCAACTTTCTGGTTAACCAAACTAAATAGAGCTTAAATGTAAAAACAGAGAAAAGTGAGAGAAAGCTTAAAACACAACAACAAAATTATTTTACATTTTTTTGCACAAGTTTATCCCAGCAGAGCGGATGAAAACGGTGCAGTAATTTGCTCCTCTATTCAGAAAATCAGGAAGAACAGCACAATAATAAAATCTGCGGGTCGCATGGGCAGCAGCTATAAAACCATAAGTATCCATGCCTGCTTTGCTGTAAGCAACTGTCAGATTCCTGCCAAGAGAGCTGAAATGGAATGATTAACACATCCTGCACCCTCATTATAAGCACTCAATTATCCCAGGGCACTCCATGGCAAA